TCTCTTGTTGCCATTATTATCGCCATCAAGAGGCGTGTTTTCGTTGCACACCGCGCAAGTTTAATTAGCGATTACAGTTACCGCGGTAATAATTGTTGTATGCTGAGATAGTGTTGCAATTTATTGTTATCGCTACACATTTAGTGTTAAATATCGCGTAGCTCTCGCAATCAGTTTAACCCGTCTGCTATACGAGTCGCACATAATGTGAACATAAAGCAGCACTTGAGATTAAATATGTGATAACATTGACCGGAGAACGTTCCCGGGAGAAACCTGTGATATTGATTTACGTATAATTTTAGGCGGCACTTGACGCTATATAGACAGTGGCATAACAAGGCCGTCGATGAATTTTTTCGTTGCAATCCTGTCGTTTGCATATTATTCAGTGGCCTGTATCCATAATTTTTTCCCCGCCGAATCAATAAAAGTCACGTAAGACCGTGACTGTCTCTTTAGAGCCTTCCTCGGCATGCGCCGGTGAGATCCACCAAGGGCGTGAATGCGATATATGGAGATATCGATCTCCATACCTTTATCTCGACTGCTGAATTTTGTTCGACGCGCTCGTGTCCACGTGTACGCCCGTTACTCCTGGCTGAATCGGGCTTAATGCGCTAAGGACCGTCCACAGTGGAAGTAAGAAAACCTAAACCTTTACTTATCAGTGTAAAAGCTAAAGTACAGGCTTAATTTTTTTTAATATTTATAGCGCTGGTCGAACTCTCCGCTCTAATTCGCCGAGAGTAAGGGCCTGAGCAGAATGGCTGTCTTACACTCTTAAGACAGCCTTAAGATAATGTTTTATGTTTTAAGCCTTTGTCTTGAGGTAACGCACAGTAACTGTCTTATGTCTTAAAAGTACAAGACAGCCATTCTGCTCAGGCCCTAATCGTCCGAGCTGAAGTAGGAGTAAGAAATGGAAAGGATTCATTCCTTTATTCCTACTCTTACTTCTTACGCCAGGCTTACTTCATCTATTGTAGACGATCCTTTAGAGTCTACCAAAATTAGCGATCCAATAGAAATATCCATTTGCAAAGTATCGATCCATTTCACGATCGCTAAACTTCTTCTTCTTCCTCGAGTATTAAGCTTGGAGCCTGTTTTATCCAGGTCGTTCTGGTACTTTGGGCATTTGGTTTTACTTCATCTTCGGAAGGCTGCTAACCTTGCCGAAGAAAACCTCCAATCTGGAGGGCTACACCTCCTAAAGGGGTATGTGTGGTAGGGCATTCTCGGTGGTTGCCACTTCCCTTCGGGAAATTCTGAAAAAAAAACCAGCGGTGTCCGTGGATTTCAACTCTGATCTTTTCGTTCGGTTGTTTACCAAGCAGCGTACATTCCTCTGCGCCACATTCGCCACCGATCGCCAAACGTTCATCCGAATCTCGCGATTTATATCTGCGTTTCGAAGAAGAATCGGGAAGATAATTTGACCGCGATTTTATTTTATTGCCTCGCGCATTGCCGCGGCGCGTATATAATTTCGCGTCAACAATATCGTACGTAGCGTTTCGCCAAAGCGCCCATAAAGGAACACAAGTGATAACGCCCAAAATTGAAATTGCCTGCTGGTGTCAGCTCGGTATCATTAATATCAGCGGGTATAATTTGCAAAACAATCGGGTGGACCCGGGGTTATACATTGCTCGCGGTACTTTCCGTCGACTGAACTCTGTTGAATGCGACACGCGTGGGCAAAAATACGCCGGCGTGCCGCAATTGTTTAACGGAACAAGGTGGCTCACGCGTGGACACGCTTGTTTATTATCGACGTGGATCGATTCGCGCGATTCGAATATATCTGTCGGTTCGCTTGTTTGTTTGTTCGTTAAAGTGCAGCCGCACGCGATTTTTGCAACGTTACGATTTGCGGCGTCGGGCGCCGTGGCACCTAGGCGCTGACAAAACCTGAATTTAACGAAAAAAAGGATTCGCACAGAAGAGCATTCACACGCGTTTTTTTTGGTGGGGATATTTTTGCCACCGGGTCGACGTGAGTTTAAAAAAAAATCCCGCGACTATAATAATTTACTAGCTTTTTCGCGTGTCTTTGGGATTTTTTTACTCCGAATGAATGACGAGGGCGTCGTTACGTAGCGCGAAAAACTTTTGTGTCTTCATCCGACTCTACCGTTAGCCTCCATTTTCCAATAATGTTCGTTTAGCCGTGTTCTACCTGTGACGCGAGATGTACGGTGGCCACCAAACCTTCGTTACCGGAAACAGGATCGTAAAATGCAAATTGCTCTACGATGCGCCGCGCGCCAGGCCGGGCGTGATTGGCCTGAGTAAGCTCCGTAACTCACAATCCTCGTGAGAGTCGATACACGAACGCTGCCCAAGATGCGTTTCCGCCACTGCGAATTCGAGAACATAGATAAATTTTTATTCACCGCTGCCTCGATTACGATCGCACTGGAAAATTACGTTTCACGAGGGATTTTTTTTTTCAAGATGTGAAGTTACACGTTGGAAAAGCCATCGTAGGAAAGAATTAATGGACCGACCAAAAAAAATTGCGAATAATATTAAATTGCACACGTTACGTTCAGCAAGTGGAGATTACAACTTTTATCTGTATTCTAAACTACAGTGTGTGTGTGTGTGCTCTAACTTATTCGACTTGACTTTATCAGAAATACTTTTGTTTTGTAATAATTAAATCTTTATACATCGCAAAACGGTTATTTGCGACGAAAGACTGTCAGAGTAAACGGAATGCATTGCTAAGAAATTCAAAGATCGACCCAGTGTCATCTGGCCTCGGTTGTCGGGAAACATTTGTGCTGAATCGACGTGCGTTTTCGTGCTGCGCTTCAAATATAGAAACGTCGCGATGCCGGTACGATATCGCAGACCCTTTGTGTCTCGATAGTATCCCCGTTGAAGTGGGCGCAAAGTGGGACAGGAAAACGAGAAGGCGAGCGGCTGATTGTAGGTAGGTAGGTGGAGGACACAAAAAGCAAAGCAGAAGAACCCATGGTAAGCGAAGCGTTCGATAAAGAACGAGAAACAAGTCGCGATCCACCCGGAAACTCGTCCCTTTTTGCCAGACGCGAAGGTACTTGAGCGAAATTGAAATAATCGGAAATCGACGGAAGGCTTGTGCCATTGTTTTCTCGGTTATGCTGGGAAGCAGAGAGAGAGAGAGAGAGAAAGCAGAGAAAACTCGACAGATGCGAAAGAGCAATCGTTTTCTATTTTCTTTTTTTTCCAAATACTTTCATTAAATTGTCCCGCGAATGAAACTGATATTCGTAAAGCGCATAATAAAACAAATTAGTTGTACCCTTTGACATGTTGACTTTTATTTAACCACCACGTGCTCCCCCGCTCTGCTCTCCTTTCTCTCTCTCTCTCTCTCTCTCTCGACAATTGACGCGCATGTAAAGCTCTCTTTGCGAGTCGACGAGATTAAACGCGAGAATTGTTCGCGCGCTATTTAAGCGGGTATTGTACGCGGCCGCTGTATTAGTTGCGGCGCGGCGACTAAAATCGTTTTATTGTCGATATTTAGCTCACGGGATCGATACGCCAATCGTACGCGACATTGTAATGCTTATTAGAAAGCGACAAATACACGCGAGTCACATAATGCGAGTATTATCCGATAATAAATCGTCGGTCGTTACTAGAGCGTTAAATTCGTCGACCGCGAAGAATTTTGCGGTTTCTAACTTCCGAGATGATGCAAAATTTTTAACGGTGTCTTTCTTGCCTGAAAATAATGGTAGGGCGATAGCTTTCAGTCCGAAAATATATGTGTGACGCGCAAAATGTATCTGATGTACATTTATCATTCGAATACGTTTGCGCGGGAAAAACTATTTATTTTCAAGTTTCTCGTTCAATTTATCACGCGCCGTACACAATTTATCACACATTGAATAATATTTTCTTCATTTTGGAAGTTAGAAAACTGTAAGAGGGAAAATCTTGTTTCGCATTGGGAAAGAGATTTTCACACATTGTTACATGTTCATTAACGTTAAGACAACACTCCTTGAATTCGGACTTTGCGATGCAGTTAATCGATACGCGAATTTGCTTTCTGAAAATGCCGAAGATCGCAAATTCCTGAATTATTTTCCAAATTGATAAATTGATTTGTTTGGTGCAGGCTTGATTGCAAATTTGCGTATCAAAGGGCAAAATTGAATGGCAGAAAAAAATCTCCGAATTCAAGTGAAAACTTTTGTAGCGTTTGCACGTTTTAAATATCTATCGTTGTGTACATACGTACAGCACACGCAATTTGTGTAACCAATATAGCGCGAAACAATGATCACAATTCACCGAGTTTGATACATTGTAGCACAATTGAAAGCGGGTTGTGTCGAAGGAAAGCAATCGGTGGGAAAATAACGTGCAACCGCCTACATAATTTTTAATCGTTTATTAAACATTAATCATAATTCGCTTGTTCGATGCAGGAATATGCGCGATTATCGCATTTTGAACCGAAATCACAATTTCACGATGAACAAAGTCAGCCACAGAGCTGCAAATTGCGCCCTGCAAATCCGATTCTGCATCGAACAATGCATATTTGATTACAGGATCCGCGCGCGCGGCCCCGTGAAATTGCCAAAGTTTCTCACATTTTATTCGACTCGGGCGCATTTTCTATGACATCGCTTTTACGCGGCCACAGTTTGTTCCGTTAATACTTTGGATAATTGTAATTGCAACACGTTCGTGGGTATTTCAGTGGCTCCTCCCGTTCAGTTCCTTTTTCTCGCTGATAACGAACTTTTAATCAAGTCGGACCTTTGAGTTTAATCGATCGCCGATGGATGATAACTTCCTCAAGTTTTTTTTTCACGTTTCACGACCGTCGCCTAAAGGCTCTTTGCGGATTTTTAAGAATTTTCCGCGATATGTAAAGTGGCCACGCGCGGATCCCGAAGATGGGCGATGTTAGTTTGAAATCTCTCAGACGTTTGGAAAAAAGTTTCGGTTCTAATACACGCTTCTTCTTAACTCGACAGGTGAACAACGCTACAGCGAGGGTACAGACGAAAAAACCGCCGACGGTGCCGAACGGTAAGTGGGCCGAAACTTTCTTATCACTTTTATCTCCCCGTAACTTTCGCCCCTCGGAGCTTTCTCCCGGCTCGCTTGATATAACTTAAACGCCCCGAGTTACGACAAGGTTCCATTAGAGAGCTTAAACGCCGTATATAGGGCATCCTGCGTCACATTACCGGATATATTGGCAAAAATATTGGGGGGGGGGGGGGGGAAATACATTTTGCGTCGGAGAGAGCCGCAAATCTGAGCGGATATCATTTGATTGGGATCTTGAGATCACTGTGCATATGGTCGTCGCAAAATTTCGTAACTGGAGCATTCCGCATTTCGGCCGCAAAATGAATGTTAGCTTTTCTTTAACGTGAGATTATATTCAGATTATATAATATGTGAATTATGCTCGCGGGTATTCGATGCGTGAAATTGAAGTTTTACGGAACGTAGCCGAAGCTCCCGGTAGAAAAATACGAGCGTGCTTTCGAAAGCGATTCGCGAAATGGCCGATCGCGCGTATTGCTCGCGCGGGGGCGGCGGTCTATCGCATGAAATAATAAAAAAATATAGCTCGTATATCATTTCTATCACACGCGAGCTATGCACCGTACAAACGTCGAGCGTATTTTCCCGAAGAATATTGCGCGGGAAATATACATTTTCCGTGCCCGCCGACTTCGCCGACGTAAAGATGCAAAAGTCTTCCCTTATTGCGGAATAAGACGAAGAGGAGCTTCGCGGGGGCGTTTTAAATTCCGCGATTCTCTTTTGCGCTTCTTCCTCCGTGCATCGCAATGGGAAATTTGCCCAATGTAGGCGGACAAAAATATTCTACCCGGTTACACATATACGCCTGCACACATGCTCTATGCATTTTATGTTTCAAGAATATTTGGTTTAGCTACGTGAATCTAAAATTCAAATTCAATATTGGAAAAATGTACATATTTACATGGGGAAAATCTTGAGCGCGAAGAGAGTCAGTTATTTTCTACAATGTTTCATTTGCCGCTCCGAATCGACAATGGAATTTATGTGAAATTAGCGAGGCGTTTGTTACGGTTGGTTTGTAGAATTTGGGTCGACTCCGTCGTAAACGTGTGTCATGCGAAGTTTATTTTCGTTAAATTATACAAATTTTGGTACTCGTGTTCACGTCCATTATGAGCACGACGCGCAGTGTCAGAACTGGATTTTAAACTAAGTCTAACCTCGGGCCGGTCGTACGGCCCGATTTAAATTGCGACTTAATCCGGATTATCTGACGGACCACCAGCTGCGAAGAGAACACGTTGCAAATATGTGGTATTACGTAACCCGTTACTGCTCAAATAGGCTCTTCGCTGATTACACTATGAAGTCCTTCAGTCCACCAGATGTCTCTAGGTCACAGTTAATACCCAAAAGCTTTGCAAAATTCTCCGAAACTGTACTGGATTTGTAAAATTATGCGGGTTTTCCAGCGTGAGTAGTTAACTAAAGTAATTAATTGTCAAGTACCGAATGTACTAAAACATTGTAGAATAGAGTTCAACAAGGACTTTATTGTGACATCTGTTTATGACTATTGAAGAGTTTGCTTCTAACGCCATCAATTGAGAAATACATATTTTAACGTAGAGAGAAGGCAATACCAAAAAATAAAGCATTAATAACAACTGACATTGATAACGAGTCTTTAAGGCGCTTTGTAAATGGACGACTGATCTTTATCTTCGTCTCTTCCAAGTATTGCGCATGAATCTTCTTTAAGAGGGTTAACCGAGATTTACGTCGACCTCTACGTCGCGGGTCGAAGTGGCACGACTTCGATGTTATAAATAATCGGCGCTTAGAACAGTAATAACGATTGGACGCGCGTTGCCAAGTGTTTCCTAACGTATAATTCTGGTCAGCGGGCCCACAAAGGACGCCGAGTGACGTCGGTGTCGATCGACACCTCCAATTATTATCGCGTCTACGTAACACGATTTCGATTATGCGCGAACACGCGAACGGGTTAAGGTTCTCAAACAACGAATTAGCTGCTTTGCAACTTAAGTTTCTCCCGCGCGTATTAAAATGCATAAACTGTATGCAATCGGTAGACACTTTTCTTTTTATTTATCCCCGCTTGAATTTCCCGAATGGACATCTCGACGGCACCGAGGCCGTCGTTATTTCTTATAATCAACCTCTATAATTAATCCGATTAGGAATTTGCTTAAAATGAATATTACGGAAATATTCGTGCGGTGGCAGATTATCAGTTTCGATGTGGCATTAAATTTAAGCCTCCCCCCCCCCCCCGTATTTGGCGTAGTTGCAGTGCGTTCGTCCTGGTTTAATTGCGATCAAATCAACAGGACTTCGTGTCCAGCGACTGAATTGATTCTCGCCCACGTCGAGGCAACGTCCTATCGAGTGACGGCTTGTGTGTGCAAGGTTTAGCCCTGTGCCCACGCACGCGACATGCAATTATCGGAATGCTAAGGCTGGCGCCCTCGGGGCACGCTCCGAGAGACGTTAAGATCAATTCGGACCATTTGGCGCGTACAGGTGCACGCGTGGCTACGACGCCTCTAATAACCGATTCGACAACTGTCGATTCTCGATGGAGTGGAGAATGGCCGGGACACCCCCCCGCGCGCCTCGTGACGGTCCCCCGCGTTCGGCAACAGTAGCCGGTGTCGTAGCGTTGACAAATGGCGCTCCGGCATTTCTCGAGTGTTTGCACCTGACTTTTGATCGGTGAACATGTAACAAGGTAACTCGGTGGGATTTTTTCGCCGCGAGGTATCGTGATTAAATTCAAGAAGAACGAAGAGTCACTAAGCGCGATGAGAAATGTTAATCGCCGTAAGGAGCCCCCGCGCGATTCTTTCTTGTCCCTCGTACTTCCACGAGCGGAAAGTTCGAGACGTGAGATAAATGATAAATGCGACATTTAAGTTTTATTCCGCGAACTTTTGCCGCGCACTTTCAGACGTTGATAATACTGAAAGGAAAAGAAACTCCGCAGATCCTACGATTGATGTGAGCGAGTCGAGTGTGTGCGATTAGGTTTCACGTCGTGTTATTTTCATTTTTATATAAAGGAAACGCGAGTTAGCATGGCACATACGATCCGCGCGCAACTCGATATAGACGCGTATAATTCGATCTAATTTACACGCGGTAGAATTTATGTAACATATCGTATTAATTTTCCGCGTTTATGGTTACCGTTTAAAAATAGTCAACACGTTGTTACGGCCTGCAATTACACGGTTAAACGCGTGTATCGGTCTCGAATCGACCCAATTGTAAAAGTGGCGCGCGTCTAATTATAGAGAAATTTATTTGGCGGCGAATGTACAGGGTGTCCCAGGAAAGGTCAATATTCTGGGAGGTGATAGTATCGGTCATTTTAAGTAAAAATGTTCACACGATTATATGTCCCATTCCCCACATTGAAAAAAATTTCTGGTTGAATATGGCCGAACCAGATAATTCCTGTAGGATTTACCAGAATTCCTGTAGGATTTACCAGAATTTCTGTAGGATTACAGGAATTCTGGTAAATCCTACAGGAATTATCTGGTTCATATTCAACCAGACATTTTTTTCAGTGCACTGTTTCCGAGATGGAGCTATTTGAACGTACAGTTGCAAAATTACTGACGAGAAAGAAGTACTGCGTACTATTTTTAATATAATATTGTTCAAGTGATACATTTTTTACAGATCATAATAAATTTTCCAAATTTCCACCGTTAACAAATGCGTTTTTCAACTCTTGTGTGAACATGCGAGGCACTTTGAACATTTCTACAATGTTATCAGCACAACAGACGTATAAGAGTGAATTCCCACAGACGTTTATGAGGTTGGATAAAGTGTGAAATGCACAGAAAAAAAGTAAATGCACGAGACATTCAAGTAGCTCTATCTCGGAAACAGTGGGGAATGGAGCATCTATTCATATGAACATTTTTGCTTAAAACGCCGATGCTATCGCCTCCCAGAATATTGACCTTTCTCCCTGGGACACCCTGTATATAGCCCGCGTAATCCGCGTCATTATAGAGCCATTAATTCTCGCCCGGGTGCCGCGGGTCTTCGAAAATAAGCCATTATTTCTGTCCTGGCGCGGAAAGAAATTTGTGAGTACCTTGGCAATTAGTGGCCCTTAGAAAAACCAATTCGAGTTTCTCTATCTTGAAAGTGTGGCGCGAACAGTCGCGTCATCTCGAGAGCGTTTCTTTCGTTCCAAGATACGTAGCAGGCAATTTTAACAGTATTGTGCATCTCTGCTTGGCTTCTAGTTATTAAACCTGTGCGATGTACCGAGCGCGCCGTTTTCGCAAGTTGCAACACCGCAAATTTATTTCGCCTCCGGCCCGTGTGGGCTCTTTCTTGTTCCCATACTTCACCCGTAATACGCCGCGTGTGTAAATAACGTTGAAAGGAGTCCGAACAAGTTCCGCCGCGCGGCCCCGCCGACCGGCCCTTCCACCGCTCTGGTATATGTTTTTCCACCCTTATATATATCCCGGATCGACAGGATTTACAGAAGCCGAGTCATAAAAATTGCATACTTGCCCCCGTTCGTCCCACTTTCTCTTAAGCAACGATGCACGGGTCTCTCAATCCTCTTAACTCGATACCAAATCTACCCGTGTTCGACAACTTTAATGTCCGCCTGAAATAAATCATCTTTGCGACTAAATTAAGCTCGGCAAAAAGATTCAATTCCCCGACGCTTGTAATTCTCAATAAAAAAGATGCGCCTTGTTTAAAACTTAATTTGAACGTGTAAAATACCCGTCTCTCTCTCTCTCTCTCTCTCTCTTGATGTGCGCGATGACATAAATAAACAATTTATGTCACAAATAAATTTTCCAAGACCTCTTTCTCAGTGTACATAAAAGCCACATAATTCGTATATTACACAAGTGTTTTCACGAATTGACAGTTCACGATGCAAAAAGTACAAAAGGTGCAGAATCGCTGCAGCATCCCTTCAATTGGAACAGCGACAGAACTTTTTCCGATGA